ATATTTCCTTACTTTCTAATGCGTAATTTTTTGAAAATAAAGCTCCAGCAGCTCGAAAAGTGGATTTAGTACGGACACGCACCACAAATTGTGCAGAAATCTTGATTTTGCTATGTAATTTAGATCCACTTCTTCAGAGAGCGATAGTGCGCGAGGGCATTTTAGCGTTACAGCCAAAAGGCCGGCATGTCCGCTCTCGGATCCTCTCTGGCTCGGTGTAAACTAGGCCAGAGAAGCGTTCTGAAATATACCGATACTGGCTCCCTCTTGCCGCTCGCGCCTCCTGCGTTCAACTCGTTTTTGTAAACAGAAAACAGCCTCTTTATCAGCGCATTTCGGAACGCAGTGTATACCGACTCTTGTCGCTCGCGCGCGCCTTGCGCGATCAACTCGCAGAGCTTTTGTAATGGAATTATCGGCAGGGCGAGTGAAAATTGGAACAGTCGTGAGCGAACCGTGAGAACTTTTGTTTCTGTATGAGTCAATCTGTGGTCGAGTCATGGCGTATGTCAATGTATCCGAGTGGAAAGCCGATCAAGTGTGCGAATGGCTAAGAGGTACGACGAAAATGTTAATTAGTGTTGACAATACGTTTCTGATTGTGTATGGGAAAACGGGGAGATGGGATGTGTCATGAGGACATGTCGGAATCCTATTCTCACTTTCGCGTGTGTAAAGCTCCATTCTTCTCCCTCCTCTCTACACGTACGTCTTCCCTCGTTCCTCTCCACTTTGATTAATTCTCTCTGCTGTGTTGATTCATTAACGCGTATAAAAAAAACCATTCGTTCATCTATTCAATCGTACTTATGATCTTCTTAAGTATTGCATGATCTTACAAATGATTTTCTATCGCGTCCCTAATGAAATCTAACGTTAATTAAATCTTATATCATTAATGATATTAACTACCCAGTCAGCTAAGTCAAATTTTAACAAAAAGCAAATTTAAGCAAATTTGATACAAATTCTGTCATATTCAATGTCAAGCGAATTGGTGGCAGTTACACAACAAAATTGCTGACATGAGAACATGAGTACAAATTGACAGCTTGACAGCAAATTAAAGAACTCGTAAAGATCAAAAGCTTTGCGGGATTTTTATCGACAATTTACTCTTACGTCAAGCTTTGTCAGCAAAAGCACATAAGCCTAATGCCGACACAATTGACACCAATTTGCTATATTTTGTTCGAGTTTATTAGCAATTTGTAGGTAAATTGCTAACTGTGTGTATTGCTGACTGGATAATATTACTTGAATGAAAATGATTGAAATTTTTGTTGCTGTAATTCAGAATTTAAATGATCTTAAATTAGTATCTGGTTGATGAGGAGGATATATTCAACAATATTTAAGCTTTTATATGCACCAATCTCGATTTTAGTTTTAGTAGCGATTGAAAAAGCCTAAGTAAGCCGCTTTATTTATATGACTTGAATATTAAATTTTATTAATCGACATCTGTATTTCGCTCGTCTTTGGCCTTTTATCCTGACTTTTTTATTGTTTAAATTAGTATCTTGACATTTTATTTTTTTAATTGGTAATTATGTTATTTAACAATGTATAACATTGATCTCTAATAATGTTTGATATATATAGGATGGACTAAAGAAATGAGACAATTTAAAGGAATGAAATAAAAACTTAGAAACTTTATTTAATTAATTTTCATTACAAAATATACTTAATATAGCATTTACAAATTACCTTATTTCTTTATTATCCTCTTTGTTATCTTCTTTATGTTCTTAGTGTTATTGATTAACTATAATCTTATTACAATTAATACTATTGGGTTGTTTGAACCATTACGTCTTGAAAGTGACATCCTTCAAATGACCACCTTTTAGTGCATGCACACATCTCTCTCTCCTTTTTCCTCCCTTCTCCTTCTCCCTCCCCTTTTCTCTCTCTCTCTCTCTCTCTCTCTCTCTCTCATATTATCTTAATCAGTAAACAAAATGTGCAGTATGACAACAGATTAGCAACTAATTGGCAGTAGATTTGCTTACACGTTGCAGCAGATCTGGTATCATCTGTATTTGCATTAAACTCATATCTTGTTGACAGAGCCTGTCAATATAATCTGATAGCACATTGTTGAAAAAATCGAACAAAATATATTCTATCCTCTATCATTTTGTAAATATTTAAATGGAATACATTTTAAATGTTTACGAAATGGCAGAATCAGTTTCTACAGCCATTATATCATTATATTATTATATTTATACTGGTATGTTATCTTAATTATTTTATCTTTTATCAAATTTATAGTAAACACTTTCAAAATCTCGATAGATTTGGTCATTTGGGATTATAATACAATTATTATTTTAATCTATATACATATATATATTTTTTTTATATTTTAATTTTTAATATTTATTTATTTGTACACTTATCCATAGTACACATAATAAAAATTCATTCTCTGATTCCTTAAAATAATGACAGCCTAAATAAATCATTCTAAATCATTGTAAATCAGGAATGTTATCATGTGTTTATTTTTTATGTTGTAGGTTTAGATAGTACCATACATCCCTATATTCATAGTTTTTTAAATCATGATATAAATGGACAACACTTGTTGATCATACAATCACCAGATTTAGAACGTTTGGGTGTAATGAAGATTGGCCATCAAGAAATTATTCTTGGTGCTTTGGAATATCTTAGAAATTTTCATTATGACCTGGATAAAGAGAATCTGCAACTGCTGGCATTACGGCTTTCAAGCCAAGCGCATAGCTTGCACAATCAGATGTGTAGTCAAATGGACTCAGAATTCGTTAGCACTCAAGCATTGTCGGATGTAGCATCAATTATGATGGTGATCAAACCTTTAGTAAGATGGATGGATTATCCTCCATTTAGTGGAGACATAACATATCAAGGCAAGAAGAGTGAATTGCTGAATCTATCTATAGAAATGGCTGCGTGTGCACAAAGAGATAGATTTGCTGACAAGCCGGTTCAAGCAATTAGAACAACTTGCAGTCGACTAGCAACGTTAGCAGATTATATTATTCAAGATATCTCTGATCCGATAATACTGGAGCCTGCAATTTTAGATATAGCAGTATTAAGAAAGAAATCTAGCGATGATCTGGTAGGTTTTCGATTATTGTGTAACAATTAGAACATGTTAATTACCATGATTATATTTTATATTGATTTTTTAATGCAGAATTCTGTAGGATATGCTATAAGGCTAATAGAGAATTCATACAAACAAATTCTGACATATATAAAGAGAATTTATAATATTATAAACTAATTACAAACATTTTATAAGTGATTACATATATCGTGGAGTCATTGACAATTCAAAATAATAATAGATCACTTATAATTAAATATATTCAAAATATGTTTAAAATAATAAAAATTTGGTACTTGCTTTAGCAAGTTTTCTTCCACGTAATACGTGTTTAAAAAGTATTAAAAATTAAAGCTTAATATTCGAAATATCAATCAGTATTTATATACACAAAGCTCCTTTTTTGACTGTAAAATTGCTAAAGTGAATAAATATTCTATTCTTCTTATATACACAAAGTAAATGCATGTCAAAGTCACAATATGAGTTGATACTTTATATTTCATCATTGAAATATCAGTAATATTATTGTGTAATAAAAAAAAGTTATCTTTTAAGAAGCTGAACATTAAAAAAATTGTTATTTTGAGAATTTACATTTATTAAAACTTCTTTGTTTACATGTTTTATTAGCGAGTTACATCTTTTTTATTCTAGAGTTTTGAAATATGCTTCTGTTTGTTTAATCTTAAGTCTGTTATTAATCTTTTTTTTAATATTTACATGCTACATAATATTTACTGGCTACATTTACTCCAAAATGATTTGATTATCATATCCTGCATTGATAAAGTTTCTAACAAGCCATATTTTGTGATTGCTGCTTCCTGTTCAGATAATATTTCCTTTATAACCGTACAATCAAAATATTTTTGAATTCAAATAATTTTATAAACATCGTACATAAAATATTTATTATTAAACACTATTTAATTATTAAAATAATTTTTAGGGTTTTCATATCTTACCATCTTTTCATGGAATACACCAGATAACTGAAGTTAAACCTGGATCTGCTGCACATCAGACTGGCAAAATGATGGAAGGAGATGAGATAGTTCAGGTAATGTCTTATTTATTATATATTTAAGTTTTGACAAATTATTTAATTCTAATATGCATCTAAATTTATTAGGTAAATTATCAAACGGTAGTTGGTTGGGAAAAGAAGCATTTGCTTGAATTATTTCGTGAAAGCCCAGCAGTAATGCTTTTGACTATAAAACGTAGACCAAAGCATACTAAAATGTATGGAAAACTTTACATAGGGCCATATAAACTTCCAAGTAACAAAAACACCTCTTACTCAAAGCAAGGGCGTAATGTTTCATCTCCTAGACCAGATTTATTAACAATATCTGATTTTGCAATGCCATCACCTAGGTAAGCTATCTTTCTACATGTATCTTAATTATAGTACTGCTAACATTCTTTTTTTATCTGATAACATGGATACACAGAGTGTCCCAGAAGGTAGGCAATTTCTCAAAAGTATGCAAATCAGATGAAAATAAATTTTCTATAAATCTTTTCTATAACGTATATCACTGCCAAGATAGTCATCTTTAAAATAAAGATTTAAAAAAACAATTTTCTTAAATAATATAATTTTTGTGCTGTTGTTTAAGTGTTGATGAATTTATAATAATTA